GCAGGAGCTGATATCTTCCTATATGTAAAAATCCATGCTGAGGAACATGAAATACTTCTAACACTTGATTAAAAGAAAATTAGAGAGAGAGACAGAGAGAGAGAGAGAGACAGAGAGAGAGAAAGAAAGGAGAAGTTGAAGACACGTACCAGAAAAAGAAAGATTGAAAAACAGGTAATAAGAGATATTTCAGAAGACACCGAGCTGATGGAAGAATTTTTTCTAAGGTAATAGAGGTTTTACCTCCATTTAATTTGCAAAATTAAGATATTTGGTGGATGATTAGCCTTCATGACATAGAACCTCAGTCAGCAAAGTGAAACATGAATGAAGTCTGTGATTTGCACTTCCCTCTACTAGTGATTAGTGGTATGATAAGGGGGAACTGAGGAGATGGATGCATGTGTGCCTGAAAATGGAAGATAGGGGTAAATTTGAAAGGGCTGACCTAGCAAGGGAACTTGAACTAAAGGTAGTGAGCACTGAATCAGCATATGAAGAGAAGTCAGGTGGAGAAAGAGAGACAATAAAAGCAGCAAGGTCAAATAAATTAATGGATTGGGGGTTTAAAAAGAGCTAAAAGATAAAGTAGTGAGTAATTTGTGGAGGAATGGTTTATGTGCACGCAGAGCAAGGCTCAGCATATTAAACTTAGTGTACCAGAACTGAAGCAAAGTCAAGAGTCAATGAAAACTCATTAGAAGTCTTCTAAAGCTAAGACAGTAGCTGATGCTTTGACATGAAAGAAATAAGGAAAAAGGGACAATGAGACAGAAAATAGGCAGGAAGTTCCACCTTAAATCAGCATGGCTTGATGGCTTAGACAAACAATCACAACAGATTTCTATAGCATAGTCAGACTTTTAATTATATTTGCAGCAAAAATATTTCCCCATATTCCTGCTCTGAAATCTGTCCCCTTCCATTTAAGGCTGAGGTCTTCCTGAGCTTCTAAGTATTGAGCTTACAGTGTTACAGAACTGGATTCTTGTTAGTCACAGCAGTGCGGCAGTGGGATATCACTAAAATAAGTTGAGATATCACTAAAATAAGTAAATAAAATAAAAACACCCACTTCTGTTCTACAGAAACAAGGAAAGGATCTGGCCTCATTTCTAATAAATCCAAAGAACACATAATGCATGCACTTGACTGTTGTAAAATGCTGTCATTTTTTCTTTCCCATTTCCTTATTGCCAAAAGTAAGTTATTGCATAGTCATATACAATTATGCTGGATATATTAGTGTTGGAATTTACATACACACTTGGAGGTTGGCATAAAGATGAAATGTTATATTTCTCCTCTCTATTGAATGAACTCACCAGACTTTCTGCTATTCCTTAAAATAATTACTAAATCCAGCAAATAATCTCACTTTTTAACTGAAGGAAAATTGAATGAATGACTGTAGTATGAATAGTTTGGTGGGTGAGGACATAATGCCTTCAAATTTAAGAATCCAGTTAATGCTAAATAGAATTTTCAGAATGTATCCTTTTTGTTTAGTTGATTTTGTTTTGTTGCCTTTTTTTGTTTTGGTTGTTTGTTTCCCAGAATTAATGCGTATCTCCATGCACAATAATTGTCACTGTTGTTTGAAATGAATAAATGTGAGGGTAAAATGCATATATTTTCTCCTTCATGAATACATATTGACCTTTATTTGCCCTTGTATGTTGTAGACATATTTACTGGGTCTTAACTGAAACACATTCACCTGGCAGACAATTTCTGTGACCTGAAAAACTCAGATATATTAAATAGCATGTTAATCAACTTCATTTTGATGAAGCAACTGGAAACATCATCTCAGTTATATTTATTGCATGTATATAAAATTTCTATATATGTAAAGAAAATAAGAGCTATTTTAAATCATTAAACCAGAAAACCTCAAACAACAGCAGTAACTGGCCTTTACAATTCTCTAACTACTAGTATTCCATTATTTTATCAAGATGGATTTATTGGTATCATCTATCTCTAAGTTGGGTGGAACCAATTTTCTGTTAAAAAACAGTGTGGTGTTTGTTAGATATATGAACATGTTTTCTTCTTTAGATGTTACTTTAAGTAATAAGTTATGGCCTGAAGACTTCCTTTTTCAGAAATGATAAATATAATTAATCCCAGTAATTATATTGAAAACATTTGCTTAATAAAATTAACAGCTTTAGCTAGATCTGCATGAAAAAATATATAATTTTTGTATTTGAATAGCAGTGGTTTTATTTAAAAGTAATTAACTACATATTAGAGAGCTGCTCTTTTAATTTCCTCTGAATATAGATAGTTCAAAGAACTTACACCTCATTTTAATAACTGATAAAACAACTTAAAAGTGACTAAATAGTTAATATTATGCTGAATGTGAACAGAAATTGGATACTAAATTGAAGACCTTTATATGGTTGACAGTTATATTTCAAATTTTCATTGGTCTGCCGAAAAAAGATTTCTCTCTTGAATGCTGTGCAGAAATTTATAACACAGCTATGCCCTTGTCTTCTGTTGAAATATAGTTATCGAATAGAAATTTAGTTGAAAATGCTCAGATTTAATCATATTGTCTTCTTCTCAGCTGCTGTTTATTGCTCTGGAAGATAATATTAAAAACTTTTACGTGTGAAATCTAGCTGTCTGAAATGGAAAAGAAGATGGACCCCCAACATGAAAATATATGTAATGTGTAATTGATCAGTTTAACTGATGAATTAAAATGCTTAATTGTGTGGCAGATTTATATCCTGTACCTGAAAATATACCCAAACTACTCTAAGAGTCAAGCCATATATCAAAGCTCTATTCTCTTCTGTACTTGTAAGTGTGATGTTCATTACTTATTTAAGGTAATGACAATAATGACAATTTAAGGCATGACAATATGGAATTCCTGTATAAAACCTACATGCTGGAGAAGGACTCCTTGGATTCTCAAACTCTACTAGTACTGAAATAACACCATATCAGTACTGGTATTTTATGTTATAGGCAGAACATTGAAAAATGTAGCAGAAAATCAAACTCAGAGCTGATAGAGCATTCACTTCATCTGGCGTTTTATGTCTATTGTTCAATTTAAGCAACATTTATTTCAATTATCCATTTTTATGTTGTTCCTTTTAGAAAAGTGAAAAGACTTGCTCACCAAACTTTGGGTATAGCCAGAAAATTACACATCTGCATGCAAAACTGCTAATCAACCTATCCAAATTGGCCTGCTGTTTATGCAGAAAGGGATTTTGTTGGTGCAGTGAGCTCTTTCTGAAAATTTCAACATTATTTGAAATTTTAAGTTTTCATTCAAGATCCTTGGAAAACCATAGTCCTTATGATAAAAAGTATTCATTCATTGTAAAGCAAGCAATAAATCCCTAAGTGTATTTCTACCTATTTCCACACAAAAGCCTGTAGGAAGAAGAAAAGATATCCTAGGAAACTCTTCTGCTAAGAATATTCTGGCCTTTTGCCACTAAAAGAGGAGAGGACTTAATTTTGGGCATAGAATTTGAATTCTTTTGGACTTCCCAAATCTGGGGGGCAAGAAAGGCTTCATGTATATACAAAGGATCTGAAGTAAGAGAGGGAAAGAAATTATGGTGAGGAGGAAGAAATTATGCACTTTCCTCCTAGTCTTAACTCATACAATTTTTTTCTGCTGCGAGAACCTCACCCTCTTCTAATGGGGGGCAGAATCTGAGGGAAATAAGGAGTGAAGCAAAACAGTAACTTCCTAGATACTGACATAAGGATAGACAGAGAAGTGATACATATTGCTGTGTGTAGTCTATGCCCATCTAAGGTGGTGTGACTGTGACTCTGTAACAAGTTTAATAATTTTAATTATGCAGAACCTTTTATCCTTTTAAAAGGATAACTCACTAACTTACATTCTAGTCTCAAACACATGACTAACCCTGGTGAAGATTCCAAAAGTATCAAAGTTGTATTTCAGACAACATCCCGATCATTCAAAAATCTGAAATTAACTTTATAAAGATCTGGAGTAAACTAAGCATATACATCAGCATATTCAGGATTAAATTTTCACTGACCCTTAGGATAGGTCATTATCCTTCTATTAAGTTTTTAATTGATACCATTAGATCAGTCACATGCTTTAAAAACAGAAGTTGTATAGGTCATATAACCCATTTTTTAGATATTTGTCTAAGATACGAGTGCTTTTTTTTATAATAACAAATCATTGAAGGTTTTATGCATTTTGCAAAGCTTGAATCCAAATGTAATTGCAACATACACTGACTTTTCTATGAATATTAGAAACTTAAATTTTAAAATTTTAAATTTAAATTAATAATTTTCAGTAATTGTAAATAAAAATGGCTCCTTATAATTGTAAAAAAAATTAAACAGTGTTTCTAGCATTCTGACACTACTGATAATGTCACTATTATATTATGGTAACAATATTCTGTGTGAGTAGCTGATATATTTTTACTGTGCAGATTGTAAATTTACTTTTCTTTTGCATTTTATTAGACACCCTTGGTAAACAATCAAAAAGCTAAGAAAAGCAGTCAAATTCCACCAACAAATGCTTTAAATCTTCTTCCACATCTTTTACAATGTATTCTTAATTCCTCCTGGACAGACAATATTATAACTTTTTGATTGTGGAGACAAAGTATGCAATGTCTTCTGGAGAGCCTGTCCCTGGAAGAGACTAGGAGACAAGCAAGAGATTCAGCTGGTAGGTAGTGGTCAAGGCATGGAGAGGATTAATGCAACGAAGTGACAAAGCAGCACAGAAATCTGGAAAATATGGAGCCAGAAATCCCTTTGCAGAAGTTTCTGCAAGACTCAGAAGGATAAAATGCTCACAAAAGATGTGGATTTCCTGCAGCTCTGTCTTTGTCACCTCCAATGCTCAAGCTAATACACCACTGTCTTGTTCTGTTCTCCTGCTGCTATGTCACTTGAAGATATAACCTACTTGGAGCACCTCCATCTCAGAGCAGAACACAAACTCTTACCTCAACAATATCTGAATTTGTTCGGCTCTCATGTGGCTCATTATACTCCGTATATTTCAGCAACACTTTGTCCATATCAGTGCTGGCATACTGGAACAGTTTGTTGGTGCTGTTGAAGATGATTAGAGCAATCTCACAGTCACACAGAACACTAAGCTCATAAGCCTTCTTCATTAACCCAAATTTCCTCTTTGTAAAAGTCACCTGGAAAGAAAAGCAAAAAAGGTCCATCAGAAAACCACAAGTTGCTCTCTGTAGTCTTTCTCCTTTTTTTTTTGGAGCTATAATGTCTGAGTGCTTTGTCTTTGAATTGAACATGCTCTTGAACATGCTCAGAAAACAAATCAATAAACATAAAAGAGTTCCAAAATAGAATATATATGTGTGTGTTGTATGTATTACACAAGCGAGCAATACCTAATTATCATTGCACTAAACTTGAGAAACAGGTAAGGACTATTTTCATTTACTGGTGCTATGAAGTGTTGAGACTGCAAATTTAACTTTTAAATTCAGATATCCTTTAGATGGCATACAACTTTCCCATTAATATTTGCAAAATGCATCTCAGATGAGCAGCTGTAAATACTTTAAACAAGTGCAGTCAATTCTGATTTTTTTCAATTGACTTTGACTTCAAGTCCCCCAAATCCTGCTAGCTTTGAAGCAAAGAAATTATTTCCTAATCATTTAAGTATTCCAAAAGAGATACATTGCTCATAGAAACACACTCATGATACTTTTGAAGAAATATCTAGTGTGAAAAATGGCACTCATGAGAAAAGAGAATTATAAAGCACGAAAGAAGAAAATATCTGGTCAGCAGCCTTTGAAACAAAGTCTTTTCTGAACACACACATATGATATTTTATTTCATTTCAAGCCATATGCTTAGGAATATGAACTGGCATTTTTAGTACAAAGGGCTTTAGGTCATATTATACAGAAAAGAAATAGGGATTTGCTTGCAAGTTCTAAGTAGGCCAGCAAATACCCCTACATAATGAAAAATCCAGGCAGTATGAAAATTATAATTATTCTCTTCAAAACCATAATTTTCCACAGGGATTGTTTTTACAATGAAAGACCTGCACATCAAAAAATTTTTTATTTGCTTTTCTGCACTAGGTTACAAGTTCCAGTTACACATGTGACTTGAAATACTAAACTACTACGAACTGTTTAAGCTAATTGTATGGTTGAATTTTTCTCCTCTGTTTCTTCATATGTGCAATTTCTCTTACATATTTTTCATTGACAGGAATCTTTAGGACAAAAACGGTTCTGCTAAGCCTATAATCAATTGAATTTAACTCATAGTCAAGGTACTTGGTATGTCAAGAACAGGCGCACCACCAAGTTTATTGGTCTGCCTGATTCTACATTTGTTGCTACCATCCCTTATACACCCATAAACAGTGGCACCTCTGCACATTAATGCTGTAGCAAGAAGATTTGTCTGTCTGAGATTCATATGGCTAGTGTTTTAACTTGTCACACTTCTTGACACACTTGTCACAAGTTAATGCTAAGTGCAGCCTCAGACTACCTTAAAATCTCAACATATCAGGCCAAGGAAAATGTAACTTTTTAAGTATTGCTAATCCCTATTTATTAGATTCTCTCAGAAAGACGAGGCTTTGTGTCCATACTGTGAGCACTTATTCTCCTAAATGCATACCGAATGTTATTCCTTTTATTTTAATTTTGATAACTTTAACTTCTATCAACATACTGTTAAGAAAAGATGGACTGTTATTAAACACAATTATTCAAGCATTAAAAAACCCCCCACTTTCTAGAGCACTAGTCTCAAGTATGCATAACTTATAATTCTTTCTAAATTTGTTTATCATGGTTTTTGATATTTGGAATGAATAATGAGATAGGTAACAAAACTCCACTCAAATTCTAAATAATAATAATAATAATAATAATAATAATAATAATAATAATAATAATAATAATAATAATAATAATGATGTTGTCTTCAAAATACTCTTTTAATGGTTTCTCTGATTACACAAAAATGCAATTAAATGCTTGAAAGATAGAGATATATATAGTTATGTATCTATATACAAAAGCTTGTTTTAGAAATAATTAGTGATACAGAAAATAAAATGTACTAATTCAACATATTTTTCTGCATCTAACATGCTTTTCAGTCAACTTTTTGACCACAGTGCTGTAGGTGGAGTATCTCTGCATTTAGCATGCTTTTCATTCATGCAAGTCCACCCCAGTACAAAAATATCCTTAAAGCCAGTGCTTGTGTTCATTGTAAAGTAAAATGCCTTAATATTTTGAAAAACCATCTGGCTGTGGTGCACAGGAGATACTTAATTCATGATACTTATCACCAAAGTGATACTGGTTAGAGTTATATTTTATGGACAGTAAAAAAACCCCACAAACCAGAACAATGAATAATCGAGATCTTCATTTAATCTTTCTTTAATACACAATCATAATTACTCTGAATTTGATATGGTTTTAATTTCTTGATCTTCCTATATTATCTTCCTAATATTTTCTAAATTGACCAGATAAAGACTTCTGTAACTGATAATTAATGAATTAAAGGCAATTGTGTCTACTACTGTTTCACTACATGTGATTTGGAATTTTAATTCTTGAATATGTAATTCATAGTGGTTTATATTTATGCGTACATAATTCATATACATAGATGTAAATTTATTATGCTTTTATAACAGTTTATTTTAGAGAACTTTTCAAATGTACAGTGAAATGTCGTGTCAGTGACTTCAGAAAAAATTACTAATACTCTTCAAGCCATTTAAAAAACAAAATTAGCTTTTTGCATGCATTCTTCTGTGTGGCTACATAACGAATATGAATATGCCATATGCTAAAATACTTTTATGAGCAATATAAATAAACAGAATTTTTATTATTTAACTTTATTTGTTTGATTTGTTCACCATTTGCTATGTGAACCACTCTTGTCCACACCAAAAAATATTAAAATTTAACACCATCTAATAAATATTTTCTAAAGTACCTGATAATATTCTTGTAAAGAAAAGGGTTTGTTGAGAGGTAAAAATAGCATAAATTATTTAGTAGTTCTCATTTGTCTAGTTGGAAGGCAGTGTGGAATCTTCACTGAAAAATCTCTGATTATGCTTGAACTGACTTAGTGCTGATAATTAACAAGACAGTTTGTTGAACACAAACTGTAGCTACATCACCAAAAAATTCACGTGTTGACATAGTCTTATAATTCATGTTGAAAGTCTTGGTAGTGTCATATAACAACTGACAATGTCATTTTGTCATTTGACATAAACAATGCTAGTGACACTGAAGGAAAACACAGTGAGAAAATTCATCAACATATTTCAAAAAAGATGCCCCCAAAAAATGTATACTCTTCAATATCTCTGTAACATTTAATTTTTTCAGCATCAAGAATCAAATCACTACATGTTATTTCCTGACAATTTTAGTGAACATATGCTTAATTATCCCCACTATCTAAATCACTGCTAATTTGCGGATTTTTAGGTAAGAAATCTACCTAAAAAAGAGATCCTTTTGCAGGATAGAATATTTTATAATAACAGGGTGAAAATAATGAAAAATTAAAGTGGAGTGGAAGTGGAACAGATAGGAGGCAAATATTCAATGGTCTTTAAAATCTTTTTAAGCATGTGCATATAAAAAATGAGGGTTTTGACAATGATATAGTTTCTAAATACTTGTATGAGATGCTTGAATGCATTGTTTTATATATATTACAAAAACAGCAGGGTGTGGAGATCACCAAAATTATTTCTGCATCCTACCAAAATTCCATCCCTTTGTATTAACTCAAAACCCACTAGTCTTTTATGTTTGTCTTAAAACTATAGTTATTCTACTTATTTAATTTTTATTTATTTATTTTAAATGTTCTCTTGATAAGAATGGTGGTATCAAGAAGATAGGTTACTGAAGTCTGAAGCATTTTTGTATATGAATAAGCATTAGTGCTTATGACTTTGTATGGTGTGAGCTAATCAAGACATTACTTGATTGTAAAATACTTAGTGAAGTAGTTAACTTTCAATTTCCTTGATATAAATCAAGGAGAGCTTTTTATATATTTTGGATGAAATTCTAACTAACGGTGAAATGTGCTAAAAGAAAGGCATTGGATAAAGAGAATTGTTAAAAGGGTGATTTTCAACTACAACTCTGGCTCTTCAGTTCCCTGGAAACAGCTTTCAAATGCCCTAGTCTATATTTGCAAGTGAATCTGTAGAGAGTTTGAATTCGAGTGTGCATGTCACACAATGATATGCCCAATTTAGAGCGCAATTTGGTGCAGAGAAGACTTTCTTGTTCAATCATTATTAAATTAAACTTACTTAAACTATATAAATTAGAAGATACTGTCACTTGGTTACAGTTAAAAATTCTTTCATCTGCCTAAATTTTAATTTAGCTATGTGGGTTTGTAAATTGGGATGCTAGCTACAGGAAATAGTCTTTCTTTAAGTAAATTTGTAACAACAATTTTATAATTCTTATACATTTTAATATACCAGTAAAGAAACAGAAGCATCCATAAATATTCTCATTTACTGAATACAACCTTAAGGATACATGATCTATGTTTTTTGCCACATGATGATTGTGTCTTTCTTTTGATGGGAGTTGGTTTGGGATTAGTTTAGTTCAGTTCAGTTTAGCTTTAGTTTTAATTTGGATTCTTCGAATAATTTTTTCTGAAATTTCACAAACGATGAGAGGCTGACCCATAACATCACTCCATATGTGTCACTAGCAATCACAATATATGTGCTAACACTATATTTCCAAAGTAGCGGTCCCATGATGTTTCAAGTGATTCAGTCCAGCCAGTGTCAGAATATCAGTGCTCTCCTTACTTCTTCCTATTCTGACTATACAGATATATAGTTGCTGACATAGGAAAATGAGAGACACAGAATTTTCACAAATGCTTCCCAAGTATATTTCCCGCCATTAAACAGGTGAAGAAGAGGGATCACTGATGCACAGAAGTATCTGATAACGGCACCATGTTGTCAAAAATAAATGTTAGCTATTTGTCCTTATTTCATCTGGAATGTCTAAATTTCTGACACAGGGACTAGAGCAAGCACAGTAGATATGATGCATGTGATAAATAGGAGATACTATGTGAGCAGTCTATCCAACTTCAAACATAA